TGGGGTCTTGCTCTGTTGCCAGGCTGGAGCACAGTGGCATGGTCTCGGCTCACTACAACCTCCGCCTCCTGGGTTCAAGTGATTCTTCCACCTCAGCCTCCCAAGTAGCTGGGACTACAGGTGTGTGCCAAATGCCCAGCTAATTTTTGCATTTTTAGTAGAGATAGGGTTTCACCATGTTGGCCAGGATGGTCTCGATCTCTTGACCTCATGATCTACCCACCTCCACCTCCCAAACCATGTGGCATTTTAAAAGTGAGGTAGCTCAGCATAGGCCAGTGTGGGTGCATCTTCAGGGTATATCGTCACACATAAAAGCAGTATGTTGAGTGTGGGTGCATCTTCAGGGTATATCGTCACAGATAAAAGCAGTATGTTGAGTGTGGGTGCATCTTCAGGGTATATTGTCACACATAAAAGCAGTATGTTGAGTGTGGGTGCATCTTCATGGTATATTGTCACACATAAAAGCAGCATGTTGAGTGTGGGTGCATCTTCAGGGTATATTGTCACACATAAAAGCAGCATGTTGAGTGTGGGTGCATCTTCAGGGTATATTGTCACACATAAAAGCAGCATGTTGAGTGTGGGTGCACCTTCAGGGTATATTGTCACACATAAAAGCAGTATGTTGAGTGTGGGTGCACCTTCAGGGTATATTGTCACACATAAAAGCAGTATGTTGAGTGTGGGTGCATCTTCAGGATATATCGTCACACATAAAAACAGTATGTTGAAGAGTGTGCAAAAAAAGTCTCATTTGGATAGGAGAAACTAGGAACTTAACTATTGACTGAATGCATCTATAAGAATATCCAGTAAATGTCTAAGAGTAGTTACCTCTGAGTAGTGAGGTGGAGATCTGGATAAGGAGAGATATTAATTAGTTTCATTTTTTAAACATCTTGGTTTACATTAAAATGAGAACCAAAGAAGCTGACCTATTTGTATAATGAGAACCGCCCATATACTATAATCATTTGATAAGTTTCTTTAAACATTATTAAATTCCATCTATTGTTACAGGAAAAGGCCCAAGACATCCATCTATAGTTCACCCGTGGCCCCAGGAAGAGTTATATTCCCTTTCCCTGGTTGTCTAGAGGTGGCTGTGCAAAGCCTTACAGTGACTCATCACACATTCAAACCTGCCCTCAGATTACAAGCTCCCGAAGGCAGGGGATGTTTCAGTAACCTTTACATCCCAGAACTACACTCAATGCCTGACAATAAAGAGCCACCGATTCCTGATTGAATGCATAAATCTAAGATAACCCATTTGCCTATTTCTCAACTGCAAAATATCATTAATTTAATAGTTTAACTGCATTTAACCATGGATTCAACGTTTAATAAACAAAACTGGCCAACTGTCAGTCAGTGAGGTTAACTAGAACTCTAACTTTGTAAATCTTACACAGATAAAGCAAAACACATCAACACTGCTATGTAAAGATGTATAGAATTTTTTATTTTTAGGCCTTGATTTTAGGAAGGCATGTTTTCCATATTTTATAATTCAAAAAAAATTGTGGTCAGTCCAAAAGTGGTAAAATGCCAGAACTGTATGGGGTTTTTTTGTGTTTTTTTTTGTTTTTTTTCCTTCTTGAGATGGAATTTCGCTCTTGTTACCCAGACTGGAGTGCAATGGCGCGATCTCGGCTCACCGCAACCTCCGCCTCCTGGGTTCAGGCAATTCCCCTGCCTCAGCCTCCTGAGTAGCTGGGATTACAGGCATGCACCACCATGCCCAGCTAATTTTTGTATTTTTAGTAGAGAGGGGTTTTCACCATGTTGACCAGGATGGTCTCGATCTCTTGACCTCGTGATCCACCCGCCTCAGCCTCCCAAAGTGCTGGGATTACAGGCATGAGCCACCGCACCTGGCCTGGATCTGTGTTGTTTTAAGCCAATCAATTCATGGTAATTTATTACAGTGGCAATATGAAACTGATACAGATGGTCAGGGAAGGTACCTTTGGACTGAGACCTGAATGAGAAGAAGGCACCTGTGCTAAGATCTGAAGGAAGAGAACTCCAGGCATAGGGAACAGCATGGGCAAAGGTCCTGAAGGCAGGGATGACCTTGACCTGCTCAAGGAAGGGAAAGCAGGACACTGGCTACAGCAGAGGAAGCAAGGAAGAGAGACAAGCAATGTGGCCTCTGAAGGCAGTGATCAGGTTAATAGAAGACTCTTCACTTCCTTGGAAGACTTGGCAGCCCTCCAGCACCATGTAGCTATGTGGGCCATGGTTCTCTGTGGATGCCTGAACTTTCCTATTTAGATCTACCAACCAGACTTTGTGATACCCAGGCATCCACCTGTTGGTTTCTGAAAATCATAGATGCTCAGGGTTAGAAAGAGACCTCAGAGTCTGTGGTTCCCATGGCTCATGCAGGACTAGAGGCCTCTTATAGCTTCCCTGCCCCACCAACTGTACAAACTCTGTGTCCACTCCTGATCCTAGGATTCATTCCATTGATTCAGATCCAATTCTCTAGACACCAGCCACTGGCTTCAGCTACGTGTCACCTGCAAACCTCATACATGTGATCTCCTTTATATATACTCAGCCCATGGTTAGAAATATCCAATGTTGGGACCTGGCAGAGCCTAATCTGTAATGAAATTTAGTTTTATTTCCTTTGGCTCCATAGAGAAATATAAATGAGATCATCAAATGGAAAATGATAGAGTGAGTGAAGAAAGAGTCCAGGTGTGTACTCAGATGTGTAATGGGCCCTATCACACCCAGCCACTCAGAATAGCCACTGTCCTGGGCTGTAGGCAGCGTCTAAAAAGGTCATTGCTGAAGTTAATCTTCCCTGGGAGTAGCTCATAGCTTAAGAGCTACAGTAGTACAGAAAAAATAAAAGAAAGAATAAGCAGCATTTTTCAGTGCCTACGGAACAGCAGAAATCTGCACACTGGCCTCATTTAATCCTCGCAGCAATCTGCACGGGAGGCCTTCCTATAACCAAGTGAGACAGATGAGGCTCCCAGAGGTAAATTTGTTTATCCAGGTTACAGAATATGATGGAGCTTGAACTTTGCTCCTTTTTGTTATTCCCTATTTTGCCTATATTGTTCATCACCAGAAGAAGTAAACTTTAGGTATTTTACAAAGATAGGATCTCACCTCAAAATTTCTTGATGATATCCTGTGTGTTCCTGACTTTTTATCTATACTCTCCTATATATTTATTTTCATGAATCCCGTTTTAAAGCTATAAATAGATATTACTCTGCCCTAAGGCACAAAATGTGTCAATTTGTCATACTAAACTTCAGAATGAAAACTGGCCCCATTTTGTGGAAAAGTAAACTGAGGCTTAGCACGCAGTCATAACAATGAGTGGCTTGGCCAGAATGAGAGCCAAGGTCCTGTGGACCAAGTCTGGAATCCTTTCTACCAGCCGATTCCACCAGACTGGACTTAAGATCCTACAACAAACTACAGTCCCTACAATTTTATCATTGAAGTCCTCTTCAGTCCTTTGCCTCTCTCTTCAATAAGGGAGTATATCTCACCCATCTTTAGCAAGGAAAGCTAATTCTTAAGCCTGTATGGGAGCATTTGAGAATGCTAAGGGGGAGCCCTATAATAATTACACACTTCACACTTTGGCTGCAATGAACCAAGAGGAAAAACACTAAGTGAGCAGGTAAGAGGCAAAATCACATCCTCAGCCTCTTATCAAGTTGGTCAAATTAACGTTGGAGAATGTGGTCAAGTTGATCAAGTTGATGTCAGAGAATGTGGTCCATATTTGGACAAGAGAGTTTCCTAATACTGGCCACCCCCATGTCAGACATGCAATGAAAACGAGATGACCCTATGCAGCCATAGGCAGCAAGGGCCACCAGTGAGGGTCTGGTCTTGTGACGCAGAGTGAAGGAATAGAGACAGCAGACAGATCAGGCCAAGTCAGCATGCTTAGCTTTCTTCGGCTATGAAAGATCAAATTGCCCCAGCTAATTTAAAGAAGAAAATATCTTTCAAAGTGGAATCTTTAACAGTTCCAAAACAACTGAAAACTTGATTCTGGCTGGGCACAGTGGCTCAAGCCTATAATCTGTATGTAATGACACATAGCTGCAATCCAAGGTGGGCAGATCCCAAGGTCAAGAGATCGAGAACATTCTGGCCAACATGGTGAAACACTGTCTCTACTAAAAATACAAAAATTAGCTGGGCGTGTGGCACGTGCCTGTAGTCCCAGCTACTTGGGAGGCTGAGGTAGGAGAATCGCTTGAACCTGGGAGGTGGAGGTTGCAGTGAGCCGAGATTGTGCCACTGCACTCCAGCCTGGTGAGAGAGAGAGAGACTCAGTCTCAAAATAAATAAATAAAAATAAAAAGTAAAAACTCGATTCCACGTCATTTCTCATTTTCACTTCAATCCTAGTAGATACATTGTTTTTACGTATAAAATCTTGATTATGACATTTATCAAACTTCTGTTAGTTCACCCTGAGATTCCCTAGCTCTAAGCAGCCCAAAACGTTTTCCAGCTTTTCCTTTAAGCTTGTCCTCCCTGGACTTTTCCCCAGGCAATAGATGGAACTTAATACATTTGAAGACACTTGAACACATAAATAAAAAGGGAATTTACATTCTGTGTTTTGTAATTTTCAACACAAAGACTCTATTTTTTTTTTATATGAGCCTAATGCTTTTCTGTTCAGCACATTTTTGGCTGCATGAGTAGCAGTGAACTCTGGATGACATCTAAAAATTCTCATCCTGGGGAAAGGCTGGCTTCAGACTCAGGAAGGAGCGGGGGCAGCAGAATGCAGGGGGCACACGTGCTAAACCGGGTTTTGAGCACCAAACTGGGGCAGGAGGAGCCCTGGTTGTCCCTCTGGGACTCACTGCCTCATCTGTCAGTGACATGAGGGCTCTCTGGTCACAGTCGGCATCTTCTTGCTGAAGGAAAATGCTTAAATAACAGCTACAAATGTTAAATAACAGTGACTGAGCTGCAGAAATACTTACGGATCTCACAGTTTGCTCCCACCCAACCATGTGGGCAGTGGCAAGTATAACCATTGGGCTGGTCCAGGCAGCTCCCAGCATGGTGGCAGGGGTTACTGTCACATTCATTTATGTCAATGTCGCACTCTTCCCCTAGGGAGATAAGAAAAAGCAGTGGTGAAACTGCTGCATCCATGGCTCCTGTCATTTTTCTGGCCAAAAAATAAAGATCCAAGGCTAGGGGTCACGGCCTCTAGCAACAGAGCCCAACCTGCTGTTTGTACAAAGTACAGAACTCTCAGAAAATTCCAGACAAGGGATCTTCTTCTGTAAAATGAAAAACGAAAAAATACATACATAGCACTAGTAAAAAGAATCTTTCCTCTAGTCTATTTAACTAGTTAGCTTCATTTAGCTAGTTAAGTGAGGTTGATTCCCATGCCTGAATAAATCTTTCCAGGTTGATCAGAAAAAGTGAAGTTGAGGGGGGTCTCGATTTTATTAAAGAAATCTATTTTATTTTGGATTTCACCAGCTGAATATCATTATTTATTTTTCCGGAACTCCAGAAAGCTGAAAACTCACAGTTTATGATTATTCTGTAGCCAAGTATTTGAGTGTGTGAGACTGGACATTTGACTCTCGTCTGGGTAGTTCTAGGACATAGCTGTGCACCCAGTCTGAGTCAACTGGGAGAGGTTGCTTTACGTTCCAAATCCCTGGATGTGGTTCTTCTTGACATGCTCAGAAAGAGCAACAGGCTAATATTTTCTGAGAAATGGTGGCCCCAGGGAAGCTGACTGTCATTCTCCCATCAGGAAGAATGTGACCTTCAGCTCCTGACCCTGGCTAGACCCAACTTTTCTGGACACCTTTGCATGCTTCAGAGAGAACCTGATAGAAATGACAAACCAGGATCCAAAGCTGGTGTCACAGTGATTCAAACAGCCCTTAGAACAAAGCCATCTTCAAATGATTTTAAAGCTGTCATTATGAGTCAAGACAAAATGCGTACACTTCTTGAATTTAAAGGCATCTCATCAAAGCTGAAGAGAAGAGGATATTTCAAATTGAGGCACTCTCTCCCTCTCAAAAGTTGGAAAATGAGAAAAAAATTTTTGAAATAAGCCCTCCTTTGCTTAGATAAATGCAGACAGTGATGAAAAAACAAAACTCCTAGCATTGCTACGGTCATGGACTAAAGCATGTGAGCAAAATCAGATATTTTGACCATTTTTAAAAGGCAATGTTTCAGCATACACTCAGGTGATTACTTCTGGGCTCACTTAATTAGCATTAAATTGCTTTTCTATCTGCTATTTGTTTACTTCATGTTTATAAAACCACTTTATGTCACTCAGACCATTCTAGAGGAGGAGCCTCACACTAAAATAGTCCATGTCTGTTTTATTTCATATTGTTTCTATACCTGGCATCTTACTGTTTTATGCTGAATGAAACATTTACAACTTCTGGGTCCTACTGGGTTGATTATAAATCACATATAATATATACGTGAATGTGTTTCCTGCACTAAATATAGTCACATCAATAGAAAAAAACATGAGATTGATTGCCTATTTCAAAGGTTGTCCTTCTATTAATGGAGCAATCACTCTTAGTGGAAATAGTCATAGATTAAACTATTACAAACAGCATTACATGGTAGACTCATTGAAGAGGCATATAACCGAGAACGTGCTGAGAAATGTTAAAAGGGTAAAATCAAAGATCTCGACAAGTATCTACGTCAGTACTACTTTCCAACCATTTAGGAAGATACGAGTAATTAGAGATATTTACGAAAAAATCGCTTTCTTTAGCTGGCAATCCGAACACTGCAAATTCTGAAATGAGATGCCTTGTTACCTTTAAAAGAATCACTATGGAAACAGCCTCACATTTCCCTCCTGCTATGGTCTGCAAAACTCAAAAGCCCCACTCTGCTTCATGAAGTCCAATGTCAATGACATATGCTTTTAATTTCCTAAACAGTACAGCCTCAAGGCTATCAGCTCAGTCCATCCAGGCCTGCTCCAGTCCAGAGCTTCTCCAAGGAGGCAAATGCCACAATCAGGGACCAGGGCAACCCTGTGCATGTATTAAATCTCAGATCACTAAGGGGCTGTAACATAGTCAGGAGAAGGCCTAGAATTGTCTGTTCTTGGGACTCACTAGGTTGGAAAGATTTGGTAAGAATGGAGATGGCAAGGAAAAAAATAGGTTGAACTCTTTCTGTAGACATTTATCAAATAAAGTATCTAAAATCCAGCTACAGCCAAACCTATCCCATTCTGGGATAGGTTTTCATCACCATAATGTTCTTAGAGTTACACTGGGGATTAAATGACGCAAATTAATAAAATAAACCCCATGCCAGTCAGGGGCCAATTCGCTGACAGCTATTTCTGCAACATTTGTGCTCTGGCAGAACTCTGGAGTGATGCACAGTTCCCAGATAACTTAGGGTTTATTCTAATGGCCTCTTTTATAGAGGAACACTCCTATGCAGCTAGTTGAATCCGTTATTCCTCAACTGGCTCTCAGTGTGAGGACTTTGCTATGCTCTATGATGACTGGCAACAGGAATATGAAGTGACTCAAACGATGGAATCTCTCAAGGGAATTTTCAACCGGAAGACACCCAAGAATGACTGTTTTTCTCTGCCTTACAATGATCATGCTTTTTGCTATTGATCTTATGCAAAGTGTCTGCCGATGCACTATGAATTATAGAAAATAAGTTTGGCTTCATTTACGTTTCCCCATAGTAACAGCATTATGTTTTCACATGCATTTCAACCACAATATTCCATTCTCAATCAATATTCATTTTAACTTACTTTATTAGAAGCGTTCATAGTATACAGTATTATCATTCTTTACTCATAGTTAACTGATAAATCTTTAAGCTTTGGCTGCCCTGAGCCAATTGATTTTTTAGTTGGCTCACTGGCTCCTTTTAAATTTGAGTTAGAAAAAAAACAGTTATTCTTAAATCACTGTTGTTCTTCAATAACATCATCTATGAAGAAAATACAAAATAAAATGTTACTTGAGTAAGGCTAACAATCAAGGTCTGAACTTTAAATCTTTTATAATTATTTTTTCTTTTCTTTTTCTTTTTGAAACAAAGTCTCACTCTGTCACCCAGGCTTGAGTGCAGTGGCACAATCTCAGCTCACTGCAACCTCTGCCTCCCAGGTTCAAGCAATTCTCCTGCCTCAGCCTCCCCAGTAGTTGGGATAACAGGCCTGTGCCACCATGCCCTGCCAATTTTGGATATTTTTAGTAGAGAAAGGGTTTTACCATGTTGCCCAAGCTGATCTTGAGCTTTGACCTCAGGTGATCTGCCCACCTCAGCTTCCCCACCAAGAGCTAGGATTTGGCCACTGTGCCCAGCCAAATTTTTTTTCAATGTACGATTTTCTATGAGGCAATAGGTATGTGCAGTGGGTATCATACATTTGAAGCATACTGATTCTGCTTGCTTACCTTGGGTAAATTAGGAGATACAAAAAGACAAAACCATCCAAAGTCACCACTGTTAGTGAATCTTTGGGTTAACAGAGTCCCCACTAAAAGATATTGATGACAATTACTATAATCATAATATCTAGTAATAAATATATACCTCCTATGTGCCAGGCACTGAATGGGTACTTGAACAATAACTCTTTCATACTTCACTAAGATTTCATTCAAGATGAAGTGAGTTTTAAAAATCATTTCAAACTTTTTCTATCATGATGGAATAACTGGAAGCCATCTTGTCTTCCCACTGTAAACAACTAGACAACTAGATGAAATATCTGAAAAAAAAAACACTATGAAGACATTGGACAACAGGAAATCCGTGACTATAATTGCTGCAAGAAGGGAAATAAAACAGCTGAGCACCACAATCATCCTGGCTTTCTTCCTAGAATTAATTTAGAACACAGTGGTTTCACTGACTTCAGAAGACAAAGATCAGAGTACATGGAGGCCAATAGCTTTAATTTGTAGGAAAGACTACAACAGAAGCCAGAACCAGGCAGAAAATGAGCACCAGAAATCGCTGCATCCCTCGAGCTGTTGCTGAAGACTGTGTGTGCAAGTTGAGGCTTGACAAACAAAACAGATGAATAGTTCCCAAACTCACAGAGGACTAAGAAATATTCAGATTTGCACAGCTATAGTGGAACTATTTCATCAATTACCCAGTACATTCAATGAAGCCACAAAAGATCACATCGTACTAGTGGGGCAAAACTAACCCTAGAGTAAGGCTACTCTACGTTCACCTCCCCAAAATGTAAAACAAACCTTGAAAGAATTAGTTAGGTGAGCAAGTTACTTACCTGACACAAAAAAAGTCTATTACTTTTTTAAAAAAGAATAAAATTCAATCATTCAACAACTTAATCCACAATGACTATCATTCAAACAAAAATTATCAGACATGCAACAAAGCAGGATCATGTGACCCATAACTGCATGAAAACCAGCCAAAAGATGTAGATTCATAAATAACAGATACTAGCAGACAAGAAATTTTTTCAAAATGTAAAATCAAATATAAAAAACAATGAACAGAATCATGAAAAATAAAAAACAAGCCCAAGAGAACTTTTAGATGTGAAAATTACAATATCTGAAATTGTTTCTAGAACTCAATGATCTTAATAGTAGATTAGTGGCTCACACCTGTAATCCCAGCAATTTAGGAGGCCAAGGCAGGCTGATCAACTGAGGTCAGGAGTTTGAGACAAGCCTGGGCAACATGGCAAAACCCTGTCTCTACTAAAAATACAGATATTAGCAGAGTGTGGTGGCATGGGTAATCTCAGCTACTCAGGAGGCTGAGTCAAGAGAATCACTTGAACCAGGGAAGCAGAGGTTGCAGTGAGCTGAGATCATGCCACTGCAATCCAGCCTTGGCTACAGGGTGAAACTCCATCTCAAAAACAAACAAACAAAAGGTAGATTAGACACTGCAGAAGAAAATATTAGTAAAGTTGAAAAAAAAAAAAGCCTGACAAACTGAAACTCACAAAGAAAAAAGACTTTAAAAAAAAAAACTAAACAGAGACTCTGACCTATCAAACAATTTTAAACAGTCTAACACAGATGTACTCAGAATTCTAGAGAAAGGATATGAGGACAAAACA